ACTAGTAAAATACATGTGTAAGTATTATAATAAAAAATATTGAAAAATAAAGTAAAAGAAAATGAATAATACAGCTAAATATCTAAATTGAAAATTTTAAGAAATTGGAGAGTATAATACTGAATATTGTGTAAAGAAATTTGAGATAGATTGATATGAAATTGTAAAACTTTTTCTGTATAGACAAAAAAAAAATATATGTTTTAACTATATTTAATTTACAAATTCAAATTTTGACAAAACAATTGCATGCTTGAATTTATGTGTCTAATTTTTTAGTTGTGTGCACTCAATCAACAGCTTGCGTCCAGACAGCTATTGCATATAGCTACAATTTGTAGCTGCATGCTGTGCAATGTAGGTAGCTTTAAACTAAATTTTTTTTATACGAGCTGGACACGGGTCGGCCCGAGTCTTGGCTCTATGCAACCGAGCCCGAGTTCACGAGCTTTTTTGCCATCCCTAATTATGACTGTTCTATTTTAACTCTTACAAGATAATGTAATCTAATCTCGTGATATCTTTTGCACATCTTTTTATTGAGTTCATATATATGACTGTTAAAATCACAGAAACAGGAAGATAGCGAGTTCAAAATAATGGAACGGTAGAAACGACACTATAGTAGAATAATATATTTGGGCAAAATTTGGGTTAATACTTTTTCTGTATAGACAAAAAAAAATATATGTTTTAACTATATTTAATTTACAAATTCAGATTTTGACAAAACAATTGTATGCATGAATTTATGTGTCTAATTTTTTAGTTGTGTGCACTCAATCAACAGCTTGCGTGCAGGCAGCTATTGCATATAGCTACAATTTGTAGCTGCATGATGTGCAGTGTAGGTAGCTTTAAACTAAATTTTTTTATACGAGCTGGACACGGGTCGGCCCGAGTCTTGGCTCTATGCAACCGAGCCCGAGCTCACGAGCTTTTTTGCCATCCCTAATTATGACTGTTCTATTTTAACTCTTACAAGATAATGTAATCTAATCTCGTGATATCTTTTGCACATCTTTTTATTGAGTTTATATGTATGACTGTTAAAATCACAGAAATA